TCTGGAAATGACCGTTTTCATGCCTGAGTCCCCAGTTCCTCACTCTTCTGGATTATTCTTTATGCCATATTTCATGTTGTAATGGTCCCATCACCAGAAAAGCCTCTGGAGCCCATTTTCAGTTGCTACTCTCACTCTCTGCCTGTCCCTTCAAGTCTGAGGAATGACCTGCTTGCCACATTCCTGGTTTGTCCTGCTGTGTGTCTGAACCAGTTGAGCACTCCGCTCTGCTTCCCTTCTCTGACTGAGATCACGGTGCCTCACACCACTCCACGCACGCGGACTCCCTCTTGCCTCCACATGTGCTCCCTGCCCCCTCTTCTCTGCACGGCTAGTTCCCTTACTGTGTTCAGGTTCTTAACCTCAACTGTCACCTCCTGAGAAAGGCCTTCCCTGAACTGTGTTTAAATGAGCCATCACCACCCGTCCCCATAGCCTTCTGTATCTGCTGACTCTGATTTTTTTCACCACCTGACATACTATATATTTACATGGATTTTGTCCATTTACTTCTCAGGTAACTCATCCAGTAATAGTATTAACCCCATCAGGGCAGGAACTTTGTTTATTTGATTCTCTGCTCTCTGCCCAGAATTTGAACACGTCTGACACATTTGCAGACACTCAGTGAATACACGCTAACAGAATGGGTGTTCCTGAGAGCCTTCTCCAGTTCCCCCTGAGAACCCTGAAGCCCTCTGCCTGTCCATCATAGAGAAACATGTCAGTTGTAAAACTGCCCTTCTGATTCATGACTGAGTTTCACTTCATCCTCTGTCACCGATGAGAAGAGTTCACGTACTCTCGCAAACCCACTAGCTCTCCCTACCCTAGTTCACAGTGCTGCTGTCTGCCTCCTTCTGTAATGAACGTGCACATCATCCGCCTTGGAGCCCCCAAGTCGACAAATGTGCTTCTGGTCCCAGAGGAATAACTGCTCCAAGAGCTTTAGTTCTTTTTTGAAAAAAGAAAAAAGTTCCTTATTTCTTTAAAAAGACATAATTGCTGCCTCTCCTGAGATATTTTTACATTGTGTCTCTAGAGGAGGAATTCCAGCTGATGGCCCGGTGCAGGGCAGAGGCCCGTAGACAGACAGTCTGGCTCCAATTTATGTTCTGTGCTAACATGGCTAATAGGCATTAGTATTTTGATATAGAGAAGTGCCGTACTTGATCCTGACTTGGTTAAAAACTGGTAACATCTGGCTTAGAATCACACATTTAAGGGCCAAGAGTTATTCATTTTCTTCATCCTCCCTCCCTCCGTCACTCCCTCCCTCCCTCTCTCTCTTTCTCTCTCTCTCTTTCCCTCCCCCTCCCTCTCTTAAAATGTCTTGGGAATAGTTTAAGTATTTTAATAGAGCAGTACACAGAGTAAATTGGCAGAAGTTCAGTTTGCACCATGTTAAACTCTGCTGTAGACACTTGGAACGTACTGGAATGGTTATATGTGTATAATGTGTATCAGAGCTTCCACAAAGCGCTGTTGGTGCCCTTATTATCCCGCTCCCCACCCCCCCATCCAAGTTTTCACTGTCACTTCATTTCAGACCCTAAACTCAACACGCACTACAGTTAAACTTAAAAAAGGCAGTAACTCTTGATTCATAAGGTGCCCATAATTCTACAAACATCTCATGAAAATGAGCAAACATCTCTGTATAAAATTTGGGTTCAATCCAGAAGTATGTTTAACTCTCAAATGCCTGATAAAACCATGGGGTTGCTGGCTCTGGTAGCTCCTTCTCAGGAGTCTGGCCAAGCAGAGGGTGCCCACCATTACAGATCCTCGCTAAGACCACCTCCCCCAACTTGCTGGTCATCTTTCTTGGATTCTTACATCTGTGGGTTCTTTAGCTAGAAAAATGTGGTATTATAATCTACTTAGATTTAGCTGTCCCAGTGACTTAGTAAGCTGGGAGGGTGGGAAACTCGATATTTGAAAGTAAGCCCTCACTAAACATTCTCTTAGAAACAAGATCACCACTTCTTACAGACATGGTTTTCCTTGGCTTGTGGCATGACTGTCCCTAGCCCATCTGTGCCAAGCCTTTGGCATGGCTGACGCAACACCTCCTTTTCAACAGGCCTTGTTCTCTGGAAACCTCAGTAAAATACAGCTAGTTCACACTCCGGCAAACCTCAAACCTAAACTTTCCCAGTTAACAAATGATATTTTGCCAAAATGCTTACTAAATCCTGGCTCTGAGTAGAATGGGATGTGGGATCGCCATAGCCTGAAAAACCAAGGAACGACCCCGTCTAGTGCCTTGGGGCTGCATTCCCGTGGAGTGCTCAGATACAGTTTTCATCATACCGTACGCTATGCTTACTTGTTAGAGAATTCATGTTGGGTTTTTTTTAATTGTATTTGCATGCTTATCAGATGCACAAAATGCATTCTTCATGGATTTGCCTATCATGGGTCGCATAGAGAGTTATGGACTTCAGAAGCGTGGAATCAATGAAAGTAACAATCAAAGAGGAACAGTATGTTTTCTCCCAGCCTCATAAATCTGATCTATAAATGCAAAGAATGTGAGACATGAATATAAGAAATTCAGTAATTTTATTTAAGACCTTAAAAAGAAAAAATTGGCGCTTCATAGGAGAAGAATTCAACCAACCGAGTCTCTAGAAGGAAAACCTTTTAAATAGGACGTTTCTGAATCCCCATCTGAAATATATATCTTTAGGGCAGTAATCATCAGAAACATAACGGAGTAGTGTAGAGCTCAGTTTTATTGTCTTGCATCACTGAACATTCCTCAAAAGCAGCGAGCATCACTAATGGAATTATATGTTTTCATGCTATAATTACATTTGATTTTTCCTGATATTTCTATAGACTTTTTGTTCATGGTCCCATGACTAGACAGAATATTTACAAGTTTTCCATCCTCAGCCTATCCACCCCACTCCAAAAGACAGAGACAGAGACTGGAAATAGGAATTCCTGAACAGAAAAAGACAAACGTAGACTTTGAAACAAAATTAGTCAGCCTTCAGGGATTTTCTTTCAACAGCAACAAAAACATGAACAACAACAAAAGAAGTAAGGAAAAAGAAGAATTTCATGCTTGAAGGTAACAGCAAGAGATCCTTCTGAGACACAAAATAGGCACTCCCTGTTTCTGTTTGTGTTCTTGAATATTTGTTGGAGAAAATGGAATTTATCTGGTCTTTGGGTATGTTGCTCCAAATGATCCTGTCACTGGAAGACAAATGAATCTAGCAGGCAAGTCTGAGCAATGGAGGACATGATACCAGGATGCCATCAAGTATGTGAACAGTGAACATCTGTTTTTGAAAAGAGAGTCTCTGACTATAAAATCCACAGAAATCTCTAAGGAAGCGATGCAAACAGAAAATTGTGTTGACATCCAACATATCTTTACTGCCCTATCTTCGTCTTCTCCCACATCGAGTCTTCACTTTGCTCAGGACACCTCGGTGACCTCTTTCTTTCTTAGCACTCAATTCCTATTCTCTAAGTTTTAATCACTACGGAATATGAAGCTGACACTCACTTCAAATATGTTTATTCTAGGGTTTCCTCCTCAAAGCATATGGAAGGGAGTATAGGCAGAAAGTTGGTCGTTGCCATGTAGGAATTGGATGAGGAAGGGCTTCTCCTGCTAAGTGGAATAAGTTCAGGGGTATAAACGAACACAGCTTGGCCTGCTGGGTTGCATATCCTTATCATAAATTGAAGTAAAGTTAACATTAATTTCCCCAAGTTTAAATATTTTTTTTTGAAATGCCATTTATTAGAACATTGAAAACACAAGTTTGGTTCTCTCTCCTCAAATCTCTACAATCTGGCTCCTGGCCCAGCCACTCAACCCAAATCACCCTCTAAAGTCTTCCAAAATAATTTCTCAGCCAAAACCAACAGTATCCTTCTAGACTTGTCAGCTTTATTCGAAACCGTATTCTTCTCCCTGCTAATACCCATTCTGGTCTCAAATTCTGAGGCTTTGTCCCTTCCAGGTTTTCTAGTTTCTGTATCTCCAGAGGCATACCTATTGTAATTCTCCTTTAGAGATCATTTCAGCCACCATCATTTCAAGCACAATGTTTGTGCATGAATTACTTCCCCAGCCCTATCCCTAAACTCTCCCTACTTTTCAAAGTCTTCCACCTCTGATGCCAGGCTGTCAACTCTGGTTAATCATGGTAAAGTACCAGCTTTGGTCTTGGTTCTCAGCTCATTGCTGCTAGATAATATCTCTGTTTCTGTAGAAAAGAATTAAGTCACTTGCCTCCTTACTAACTCCCTTATGTTCATTAAACTTTTAAACATTATGTATTTTCTACTTAGATTACTTTTACTGAATTAATGTTCCTTTAGTTATCCTCAACCCTACCCTCTAAATGCCTAGTCAAAGGCCAGTTAGACCAAGCTGTATGCGTACTCAAATGCTGCCTGTCGATCAAAGTGCAATTAACAACTGAGTGGTGGTTTTAACGTGTTCCACCAGCTCTTCCTGGCCCACCTTCAGATGACATTTTTCTGCCCCCGTCCTGCAGACACCCCGAAGTCCTCCTTTTCTCCTTTACCTACTTATTATCTGTTATTCTTGAAGGATGGCCTTTCCTTTTCTGTATAAGTCTGCTCCATTCTTCGGTAGCCCATCCAAATATCTTTCTCCAAAGGACTTTCCATGGAGCACGTATAAACCGGGTCCTGTGAACTAGCTTGCTTCCTACTTCCTCCTCACGAACATACAGATGTATGTGGAAATGTGTTCCAAGTTGTCTTGATGTGTGTATGAATTCCTCTAAATTCTCAGATGTATATTTAGTATGGTTTAGATTATCCTTTGGAAAGGCAGCTTTTTAAGGAAATCTTTTGGATCCTAGGTAAAAATCCATACAGTCTACCCACCCCCACCTCCCCCAATAATATGCACTTCAAATATTCTTAATAAAAAAAATATTCTTAATAATAAGTGGTTACTGAAATTTTACCTCATTCTGTGTGTATTTTCTTTTCAGGATCCCCCCATGGCTGTAACCCTGGGACTCCGAATGGAGGAAATGATTTTTAATCTTGCTGATACACATTTATTTTTTAATGATTTAGAGGTAAGAATTGAAAAAGAAAGGAATAGTCGTATCCCAACTATTATAATGCTTAGATGGCTTCTAAATAGGCAGATAACCTCAAGAAATCTGAAAAATATTTAGCTCAAGAGGATAGCAAAATTTCTGTCAACGGGAAAAATGTATATACAAATATAAACAAAAGCTAACTTGCACTAATGAATTCTGCCTATTTACTGGCACCTGTTTAAAACAAAAGTATCTCAGAAAAGGAGAAGCTCTGGTTTGCTGTCCCATACCAGACAACCCACCGGGCACCTTTGGAGTCAACATTAGCTTTTCCAGGTTCCTAACCAGGATATTATTTAGGTTAAATCACTGGGTACTATTCATGGTGCTGGCATGGGCCATTAAGTTGTGTAGATAATCTGAAGCCTAATTTTAGACAACATTATCATTCCTTATTTCCTCTGCATCTGGGTAAAACAGTGCTAGAGCTGTTTACATAGCACATCTGATTGGTTGCATTGCATTTTTCTTTTGTTCTTATTTATCTTTTCATTTCCAACCTCAAAGGGAAAGTAAAAACAATAACAAAATGAAAGAACTCCCCCTCCCCCAATAGTCTGAAGACCGCTAAATAAGTACTGTAATAAGGTATATAATCTGGGTGCTAATGATCTGAGTTATTAGGCATTCAGATGGTAAAATTTGAAGTAACTGAGTAGCTGAGCACTGAGCAGAAGTACTTCTCAATCAAGTGCAACTGTGGTGAAATATTTTTTAAGTGACATATTTACATTTATTTTTTACCCAATGGTTTCACAATGAAATAAAAGTGTTTATCTATAGTCCTACTATAAATGGAGAGGGAGATTATTATTGATGAAATCCCACCTTGTGCAGAACATTTTATATTGGATTTTCCATTAATTGAATAATAACCTTTGAAATAAATTTGTTTATCACACTGTTTTTGTAGAGGAGAAACTGTAGGTCCCACAAGCATAAAAATCATGTCTAAGGTTACCTGCTAGCTAAGTGGTAAAACTGGGATTTGAAACTCTGGAATCTCTCTGGCTCTGGAGCACATATTTCTGCCCCCATACCATGCTGAAATTAACAGAAGGGTGTGAGAAAGAAAAGCTAAATTAGTCAGTGTCTTAAATAAGTTTTAGAAATTGACAAGGTCTTAAATGCAGTTTCAGCTGCACTTGAGACCTAAGAGTAAAAATTCTGTTTTTTAGTATATCCCATAAATGTATGTGCTGGAAATCTGAGTAGTATCATTTTTTTGGTGGTGTTTTCTCTGCCGTGAGTCACAGTTTTTACTGGATAATAAAATTACTGTCTGTTTAAAGAGGTTTTATTTGTTTTCTTTAATGGCCAATATGAAAGATCAGTATTCCTCGGCAGGTTTTCCAGTTTTAGATAATAAGAAAAAATAATCACCTCTCTAAAACCTGATTTAAATTAATCCTGCTACTTATTAGTAGGGTAGTATACAGAATGACTTTATATATACATTATAATAGAAAACACATTTTAATCTTTTTGGAACTTGAATTTTTATATATGGTGATAACTTTTAGGTTGGTTTTTCTGTTGGTTAAAATGGATGAGTCTCATTTTTCTAAAGAAAATTCAAAGATTACTCATCCTTTTAAACCTGTGAAAGACCAAAAAAAAATTTTATGTGATTTTTATTCAGGTTTTAGAGTTTTTATTTCATTTCGTTAATTATTTTTTATTAGAAATAAATGGAATAAATGACCTTTTAGCTTTTTAGTGGCACGTTAGGAGCCAGATGGAGTAAATTTACCGCCCGGCTTTTCACAGAATAGTAAAGTGAGAAAAGTGAGGGTAGCATATGATGAATTTGCAAATACTTTTAGCAAGTTTGACATGAACGAAACAAATAAAATCTAAACAGGAGCTTTCAAAGTCATTCAGTGCTGTTACATATATATCCACCATCCTTCTACAACTGATTTGGAAAGTCAACTTGTCTTTCTCCCCATTTTTTATTTCAGTAAACCTCTGGTAAGCAAAGACTGTCATGGGCTGCAGACGGGTGTTAAGCTATTTCTGCTCCTGCTAACAAAGAGGCGAATTCCTCAAGAGAGTAACTCCACCGTTAGCCTTTTTTTTTTTTTTTTTTTTTTTGCTTCTGTAGTTAATATCTCAGGGTTCCTTTTCTTAACCCAGAACTCTAATTGGAGACTCAAATCCTTCAGTAGATACTGTAACATATGTAGTAGCAGCTGCTTTCACATAATTCCTTAAAAGATACAAATTTAAATCCTAATAGACACTTCGCTGCATCCTGCCCAACTGCTGGGAGGCAAAGGCTCACACTACTCCTCCTAAGGAGAGAAGGCTCTCTGTTGAAATAAAATGTTATTTCAGTTAGAATAACTTCCAGAAAAGAAGACACTGGGGAGTTCAGGTTCACAAAGGTGAGAGAAGGCTGCTGTGTAGATTATAACTGATAAAGATCAGTGACAACTTCATGGTCACCGCGCGAGACAAAATTAAGTAATTTAAGATTAATTAAACAGAATTAGTCCAAATGTTTGAGTCCTTATACTGAAATTTGTTGAAGCCACGCATTGTACTATTTTTAGTATTTCAGGTTTTGGTCAAAAATAATTCTTGCAAAATTCCTCTGAGTGAAAGCTAATTGAAGAACAATTACTTGGAATTTTCTAAAAATGTAAGTGATTCAAGTTCAGATTTCTTTCACTGGACTGTAATCCTCAGGCAAGAGTCCAGAGTCAACAAGCATAGTTAACTAGGCATAAATTTAAAGAGAAGTTCCATTTGGAAAAATCTCAAACATAACTTCAAATATGGAGCTCATGCTCCAATAAGTTTGATATACTGATGTCCTCAGGAGTAAAAAATAAATTTAGGGGCAAAATGTACAAATTAATCATGTGAGTTAATACTTGAAATGTCAGAGGAATTTCTCTACAAATTAGGATGAGAAGGTATGAAATCTAGAAATAACTTCTAATTACCAGAGTCATTCGTAAGGATTTCCCCCTTTTTTTTTTTTTTTGGATATTTATTTATTTATTGTAGTTTATTATAAAAGAGAGAGATGGAAACTATTTACATAATGAAAGACTTCAAAACTTCAGTGGAATGGACAGCTTCACATGATGCCATTTTGATAGTAATTTACTTCCGTCTTCATACTTACCGAGAATGTCACCGTCTCTAATAAGGAATAAGTCTTGGTTGTCTAGAACACTTTGTTGCCTCCCTATTCTGGGAGAACTTTATTTCCAATTTTCATGCTAATGATTAAATCTCTCCAACCTTTCCTTTAGAGCCCAATCCAGTAGCCACTAGCTGTTGCTTGCCGTACTTTTCCCTGAGATTTTTCTGGAAGCCTAATGCCTCCTTTGGTTAAAGTTTGGGCTGTACTCCTTTCCACCCATACTTAGCCAAAATGGGGTAAGCCCTTTCCAAATGCACGTCCCGCCCTTACACTTCTGCAGCCTTGGCTTGTGCCCCATGCTCCCCCAACTCCCCTCCACTCTTGATATAAATATCTTCTTACAGTCCTTACCATGTAGGATATGCAGTTAATATAATTGCAACTTTCTGTTAGAAAACTTAAATGATTGTGGTAATTTTGTCAAGAACTGTCATTGTCTAGATATCTGCCATTTAGTCAACAAAGAATTGCTGAGCGATTACCATGTGCCAGATTGTGCCTTACGGGGGGGGGGGGGGGTATATCCAGGTGACCCAAACACCCCCCTCAGGGAGCTTCCAGTCAGATTAACTTTTTGGAGCCCTTCCTTACCTGGGAGTATTGGTAGACATTTATGCTAAAATTACTAATTTATGTATAATTTATGTAAATCATATGAACTTTTATTTACCTGGATTTTCAAGTTACATACTAAAATTGTATTAATTGGGCAACTTTTATACTTTACATTTTAAAAGAAGCCCAGATCAGCTAGTTCAACCTCAAACTATAAAAGGTTCTAATATATTCAGTGTGGAAAGCTTGAGATGAGATATGAAATATTTCACTACCGAATACTTTCCAGGTCCTATAATGAATATAAATAGTAGCTGAAAAGCCCTTGCTTAGTATGGCATCTTCTTGTCAGAGTTAATAATTTTTTAAAAAGTGATTTTCAATAGTACGCACTATGTTATGCAGTCAGGATCTGAGTATCTGAAACAATCTGAAGAGAGAAAAAGAGGCCCAAAAAGCTAAACCATACTTATCCTAAAGTCAGTAAGTACTAGGTATTTTAAATGCCCTAGCCAAATTCCACCTTCAGATCACATACTATTTCATTAGAACTTTGCAGATCATTTGAAGATGGAATAGGACTCTTAGAACAGCAAAGAAGAATTTACTTCTTATCTAGAAAAGTAACCGTTTGCTCTGAGAACACTGTGATTTCAGTCATATTAAGTGTATGGGTATATGTACCTAAAGTTTATTCTCCTCTGAGTTTGTAGCACGTTGGAGATGGTAAATCTTCGTTATTTCCCTTTTATTTGTAAGTATCATTTTCAGCTTGGGATTTCAAAACTTGGGAAAAAAAGTAATAAAAGATACCGACTTCCACGGTTATCTAGCTTTTTTTCTGTGTTAAAAGACCAGGACTTTTAGAATAGCATCAGCATGGTTCCTTCCTGGTACCCCTGGCCCAGCAAAAGGTAGGAAGTCTAGAAATCTCACAGGACACCATAATCATCAGGCCCCTCCATAGCTGCTCAACAAATAGCAAATAATAGTAACCACCTGACGTTCAACCACACAAGTTCTGTGTATCTTCAAATTAGCTTTGTGTCCATATTTAAGTATACGCAACAGAAATGGCTAAAAGTGAACACCAGTCATTCTTATAAAGATTCAAAAGATAATTTGTTATCCATAATTTTCAGAGTAAACAATTTTAAGCTGCTCAAAAGAAATCCACATGTCATATGTTTTCAGACCCCCTTTTATGGTACTCTTCTGGGTTTAAAATAGAAATGCTGCCATTCCCCCAGCTTGGCTGTGGGATAGATGGGCAAATGCTGCCACCTTCTGGCCATGGCCTGAAATGGAAAGATGGAAAACCCAAAAACCACACAGGCATCCTTTGAAAAACAAGTAACTTTTCCGATGTTTTTAACAGGAGTGTGATCAAGTTCATATAGATGATGTTTCCTCTGATGATAATGGGCAGGACTTAAGGTAAGCCATGCCTTTCAGTATGCTCTTTCCTACAGAAATTCAGCTATGGAGTTTTGCACCTGTAATTATTTCTTTTATTTCTTTTTAATGTATTTTGGGTGTTGCAGTACCTACAGTTTTGCAACTGATGGCTTCCATGCAGCTGCAAGTAGTGCAAACCTTTGTTTGCCAACAGGTGTAAGAGGAGGGGTTGACTGGATGAGGAAGTTGGCTTTTCGTTACAGAAGAGTAAAAGAATTATACAACACCTACAAGAATAATGTTGGAGGTATGTGTGGCTCTTTAAATCTAATAAAGATACTGTAGAGGGAAGTAGGATCTGACCTGTAGGTCTGTGTCCCATGTTGGAGACTACTCTAGTAGAAAAAAGTTACCAAGAGCTCCTGTTGAACTTCCCTGAGTCAGAATCTTAAGTTTCTTATTTGGGGCTGTGGGGGGTGAGGGGTTGGGGGGATGTAACTGCAAAATAAAACATGTGGCTCTGCCAAAGGAGTTGGGAATTCTCTGTGCCCAGATGTTTGGTCAAGATTTACAGCAGGGCATGGGAAGTTTACTCCTCTTGTGCAGATACAATTCGTGCAAACCAGACAGGGGAACTCATTGAGGCAGTGGGAAGACCTGCCTAAAAGCAAAGGCCCCAGTCATTAAAGCAGAGTGGTTGGTCCTCATTATCTTTCTGGAATCCTTTCCAAAATAAATATAAACAGTGCTTTATGTCATTTCAGAGACTTAAGCCAGACTATTTTATTTTTTAAAAATTGCATGTTGTCTGGCAGTATATCTTTTTTTTTCCATGTATAGTATTAACTTTGATTATCATGGTTTTTAAATGTTCGGATACTCTGTAGGTGGAATCTAAATTATTTTACCTTCATCCATGTATTAGAAGTGATATCACAACCTGATATCACAACCTGACATCAAAACTAAAATCCTGGATACATTTCTTGATAAAATAAACCTTGGTTATTTCTATTATTAGGATCAATTTTATGTCAGCAAGATCCTAAGATTAGCTATGAAGTCACATAACATTTTTCTCCCAGGGTTTTCTGTTCGTTTCTCTCTCTCCCCTCTCTCTTTTTAAAGGATGATTTGAGGAGCTTAAATCAGAATCTAAAATTGAATGATAAGTTAAATACACTTGTATCTCCAGTGTCTAGTGAGCCTTAAGGTACATAATAGATGTTCAGTAGACGCTCAGTAGCTATAAGAGAGTAAAAAACATGTAGGGGCGCCTGGGTGGCTCAGTCGGTTAAGCGTCTGCCTTCCGCTCAGGCCATGATCTCAGGGTCCGGGGACCGAGCCCCACGTTGTCTCCCAGCTCAGTGGGGAGTCTGCTTCTCCCTCTCCCACTGCCTCTCTCTCTGCTTGTGCTCACTCTCTCTCTCAAATGAAAAAAATAAAATCTTAAAAAAAATATGTAGAACCACAGGCCAATAGCAATATTATTATTATTATGGTTGTTAGAACCAAAAAGAGATCTTAGAAATAAGAGATCTTCATTTCCAAATGAGAAAGAGTCCCCTGCAGGACAGACAACTCCAGTTTCCTAATTCACTCCAATGCTCTAGATAAGACATTTGTAAAATCAGACAAACAGATACTCTGTTTAAATTCAGTTGCGGGTGGGGCACCTGGGTGGCTCAGTCCTTAAGCCTCTGCCTTTGCCTCAGGTCATGATCCCAGGGTCCTGCGATTGAGTCCCCTGTCAGGCTCCCTGCTCTGCGGGAAGCCTGCTTCTCCCTCCCCCACTCCCCCTGTTTGTGTTCCTCTTTTGCTGTGTCTCTCTCTGTCAAATAAATAAATAAAATCTTAAATAAAATAGAATAAATTCAATTGTGGGTAACATGTTTAATTTTAAAATAAATATCCCCTTGAGAAATCTGAAATAATTTTTATTTAGGTTTGGCATTGTTCCCCTCATGAAGGGTATTAAAGTTATGTAAAAACTAACAAGATTACTAATAAATAATATTATAGCTTTAAAAGTTTAAGTGCTGACATGCAAATCCATTTTCTGTACTCTGTTAGCATTCCTTTATTGAAATAAGGACAAATGAGAGTTGCCAGAAACTATACATTTTGATTTTAAAAATCATCCACCTGTATATGTGCTCCTAATATTCTGAAATACTATTTAAATAAGAAATTTCTTTTTAGCAGATTTGCATGATTTTGTTTTATTAAGAAGTGAAACATTATCAGGGCGCCTGGGTGGCTCATTTGGTTAAGCGACTGCCTTCGGCTCAGGTCATGATCCTGGAGTCCCGGGATCGGATCGAGTCCCGCATCGGGCTCCCTGCTCGGCAGGGAGTCTGCTTCTCCCTCTGACCCTTCCCCCTCTTGTGCTCGCTCTCTCTCTCTCAAATAAACAAATAAAAATCTTAAAAAAAAGAAACATTTTCAGACCACCAGAGTGTTTGAGGTTTGTATCCCTGGGCTGGTTGACCCCAGCCTCTTCTCCAGACCTATCCTGTCACGTCACCGTCTTTTGGGGTGGGACCCCAGCACGGGAGTGGCGAAGCTCCTCAGGTGATCGCGTCCACTGTGCCACATTCTAGGTTCAGTGAGAACAGAGGCTGGGACCCACTTTTTCACTGTTTCATGCCCACTGTTTGGCCCAGGACCTGAAATCTAGAAGTTGTTCAATAAATGAATGAATGAATGGATCATCAGTTCTTAAATGAAAGATCACTATTGACATGAATAGTCTCTCTCTGTTTCTGATATGATCTATACTAGACAGAAGGGAGACCTAGACAAGGTATTCCTGAAATTTGTCATCTCTTGATTCTGCCTTGTTTTTCGGTTGCAGGACTCCTTGGCCCTGCCAAGAGAGATGCATGGCTCCAGTTAAGGGCAGAGATCGAAGGTCTGACAGACTCCTGGCTAACAAATGCACTTAAATCCTTATCAATTATTAGTACTAGGTAAGTGGTATTGTTTCAGTTTCTGCATTTATTGTATTGAAGATGTAGTTGTAATAGTGCAACATATATACAAATTCTTTAATTACTGGAGTATTTTAGAATTTCAAGGGACCCAACAATTCATTGAAGCAAGTGATTTTCAATGTGTGTGGAGGAGGTGTTTGGGGGTAGAGGATGGGAGTTGCAGCTTCTCAGCAGGAGAGCCCCCTCCTTTCTGTATAACTACTGATAATCTCCACAGGAAGGTCATGTGGCTTGTAATAAGAAAAGAAAAAAGAAAAGACAGCACTCTGTTAGTGGCAAAGTACAGGAGATGATGAAAAAAATAAAATAATACAATTTACACAGAGTGCATGTTTTTAAGTGTTTTGGCCCACTATAGATAATATGCATAATTTATTTATTTATTTTTTAAGATTTTATTTATTTATTTGACAGAGAGAGACACAGTGAGAGAGGGAACACAAGCAGGGGGAGTGGGAGAGGGAGAAGCAGGCTTCCCACTGAGCAGGGAGCCCGATGTGGGGCTTGATCCCCGTACCCTGGGGTCATGACCTGAGCCAAAGGCGGATGCTTAACAAAGGCAGACGCTTAACGACTGAGCCACCCAGGTGCCCTGATAATATGCATATTTAAATGTAACAAAATCCCTGGTGAAAGCTCTTTGAAAAACTTGTAACCTTTGTGTTGTTAGAACTGAACAGTGAAATACTGACTTACTAGTGTAGATAATAGAACTGAATAGACTTATAACTAGTTGAACACCATGTGTCATAGATGCTAGTTCATGAAGTGATATAAATCTGGAAAGTGATAGCTAGTTAGGATGGGGATGAATCTCTATACTATCCTTAATTTTATTTCTGAGTTAGGTGGACAAAAGCATGCATAGCCAACCTGTGGGTAGCACAAATTCAGAGGAAGAGGTAATACTTGGACTGATTGAATCTGGATGCAGAAAGCCTCAGTGGGGTAAAAGGAGAATCCAGGGTTAGAACATGGAAGTTAGCACGTGTGCATCCAATCCTCCACGTGGCTTCCCGCCACCACATAACCAGCAACTACACTGATGTCGGAAACTGTAAGTGGGTGGATGGAGGTGGCTAGGAAGCTACAAGTTTCCTGGGTCAGGCTGGGGAAGCCAAACCAGAGTACTTCACTCAGTTCTGGGCACCACATTCCAATGGGGGCTGTGGCATATTTGACATCTTATGTCCAGCAAAGTGGCCAGAAGGGTTTTAGGCTGAGGATAGATACCACCTGAAAGGAACAGTTGGAGGGAGGAACCAAAGAGTTTTGTCTGAAGGAGAGTCCTGTGTGAAACATCCTGTGTGAAACAAGATTACCTGTTTCAACTGTTTGAGATGTTAGGCTGAAAGTAAGTTACATTTCTCTCTGATCTCTAAAGGAGAAAATGAGGATGGATGTGTGGGAATCCTAGGGAGGAAGTTCTGGCTCTATGTCAGGAAGGACTGTCTCACAGTTGAAGCTGTTTCAAAATGGGACTTGCTGGCTTGTGACCTGTAACTGGTGATATGGAGACAAAAGGTCAAGGAAGCTAAGGTGTGAGGGCTCCTGAGTCCCTGAAATTGTGTGTAAAATGTAGTAGAATGTACATTTCTCTGACAAGGAGGTCAGCAGCTTCCATTATTTCTAAAAGAAGGCTCCTAGATGCTTAAAAACCAAGGATTATTACAGTGTTATATAGATTATATACGTGTTATCCATGATATAGAGAGATTATTATTACACACTGGTCTTAAAGCAACAACATGGGTATGTGATTTTAAGAAATAAAAGTGTAACAAGGAGAAAGGGAAAAATACGTCATTACACACTGGAGATTTCAGTGCTTTCAAATTTGTCAAGTCATCCATATGTAGGACCCTACTGCTAATTTTTTTTACAAAATGTCCAGGAGAACAGAAGCTTATACAAAGCATGGCTGAATTATGTATCCGAGCCTTGAGCTAAGTTTGCAACCTCCAGCTCTAATTTTTCTCCTGTGAGTATAGTCAAATGTCATAATCAAATGTGTAGGAAAATTTTCTATGTAACACATTATTTATAATGTTATCTTAAGTGAGCTAACTTTAAAAAAAGATGCTGCAGCCATATGTAGTTTTCACACATTATATTTTGTGAGGAAAGGAGGACTAATAGATAGTATGACATAAGTGAATAGGCTCATGATATAAACAAGCAAAAGAAGAAAAAAAATTATATGTATATTGTGGTACTAATGAGAAAAAATATCTATACACAAATTCTGAAAGTAAACACACAAAATGGTGAGAGCAGTTACTCTCTGCTCTCTGGATAGCTAAATAATTGATGCTTCTCATGTTCTTGATATTTGCCCATATTTCACAAATGTATATACATGTAACCTATAAATATATGCAGTGTTTGTGATTAGAAGTTACAGTGCATTATAAGTTGAATATTAAATATATGCAATGTTTATAATTTATAAATCTGCAAATTTACAAATATATGCCAAGTTTGTAATTTAAAAAAGAAATGATATAACTCCAGTATCACTCAGTATCAGTGGTACAGCTAGATTTCAAAATATTACTTCAATACAGTAATACTGTTTGTGTATTATGCTTAATAATCTGCCATTATTTGGGGAGTTTCTGTCTGATAACAGGCAAATCACTTCCTAGGTCTTTATTGTCTTATTGGCAACATTAAGGATTACATTCGTGATACTTAACTAAACTTCTGCCTCTAGAAGGCTTTATTTCTTTATCCCATATAAGTGAGAACCTCGTCACGTGCTTCCAGAAATCAGAGCTCCCATTACAAAATCAGGTTATCTATGGAAATAATTTAGAAATGAAAATGTTTTAAAAAGCCTGTAATTATAAAGGTTTTATCCTTGTTTTTGAATAAATTACAGTTTTTCTTTACACAGGATCTAAAGAATCTAAAGCATAATATTAAGTGTAGTGGGGGGTAAGCATATACATACCATGAAAAGTTGGCACCCAACTTGCTCTTCTAACTTCCAACCAGGCTTCTGAAAATCAATCTAGAGAATTCTAGAGAATATTTTTGAGGCTCTCACTAATAGGTATTAAAGGCTCGTGCTACAAAATACCAGTAGAGAAAGGTCCGTACCTATATGCCTTCTGAGTTCCAATTTGATGTGTGTGGTTTGAGCCCCTCAAGGCAGGACGGCTCAATTTTTCCATAATCCAGAAGGAAGGACCACAGTCCATTCTTTCCAGATCTCTGCCTCACAGTTTCCACTCTCTTGGTGTTTCCTTTATCTCCCTGCAATATTACTCTGAAAGAAACAACTGTAAGTTGTAAAATGAGACATTTTCACTCTCCAAGAGTAGGGCCTTTGTAGACGGATTAAAACTGGACCCATTAAATGCAGTTCGCCCTTTGTTGTTGTGAAGGAGATTCAGGGATTCACCTCTTCCGGAATAAATAAGAGTCCTCTCCATTCTTACTTCTTCAGGATCCCCATCTGAAGAAGTGTTCTTGATTGGAACACTGGACTGTTGCTCCCACAAAATCCAAAAACTCCTTTTACGTGTCCCTTCACCTTCTTTCTGCCTCTGACTACTACTTTTCCAGGCTCTTCTAACCCTGGGACATAGAATCTTACCACTCTAAAAAATACCTCGTCTGGATACCTGTAAAACTTAGAGCTAAACTATCCCTCTGATAACCTTCCCATGATTGCCATCGGCTGAGGCAGGTGTTCTTCTCTGAGGTTCCACAGAAGCCTAAAGAGGAGATCTTTACTATAGAACATATTTCATATTGCAGGTGTCTACTTCCTTGTCTCTCTCCTATCTAGCCTGTGATCTGGGACGCAGCGGGGACAAAAATGTCATTCATCCGTGACTTCTTTTTGCCTGTCTTCTTCCGCTTCCCCCATTTGGGGATATATTCCTAGCCTCTGTCATGATGCCTGTAAGGTAGCAGGCACTCCGTAAATAACTGTTGACATTTAAAGGTTAGGTTATCAGGGCCCATTTGTTATGGAATTGAAAGACCCCAGTGACCATTTAAAATCTGCGCCATTAGAAATTATTTAGTATTAGAAAACAACAATGCGTATTTCCTCCCTATCGTAGGAGTAACTGCGTAAATGTCTTGGTAACGACAACCCAACTGATCCCAGCACTCGCGAAGGTTCTACTCTATAGTTTAGGAGGTGCTTTCCCCATTGAGAATATTTACAGTGCAACTAAAATAGGTAAGAAAATTCTTTCTAACTCTGTATGAAATGTGTTCACATCTGTGTCTTGGGGGATTTTCTTAATATGTCTCTCTGCATGATTCCCTCTTTAATCAGTTTTGCTATTAGAATATCACGCAAATTGAATAGAGCTCAGATAACAAAGGAGCCTGTGACTCATTGTACACATGCAAATTTTATGAAAACTGTTGCCTATGAAATTCTGAATTCAGTATCTGGACAATTCTGTTTACTTATGTATTTGTATTTATCTTTCATTACAGCACCTGTTTTCTAAATAATAGAGTGTTTTTGGCCGTGGTACTTAGTATCTTAGTTAGTATGGTATATGGTGTATTGCATCTTTGCAGATGCGATAATCTAGATCTAAGATAAAAATACTATGTTGGCATTACAGGGGAGTGCCAGATGGATGGAAGTAGCATCCTTTATTCCAGAAAAAAAATAATCTCATGCATTATAACTCATGAATGCCTGGAAATCCACATTTCCAACAATGTTCCCTAGTAATTAAAGATCTACAACCTTGTTTATTTGCTTACTCTCTGTCTGCGGAGCCATTTGTGACTTGAAGTGCCTCTCACAGACTACGTCTCTAATAATCTTTCAAAAACAGAGCTTCCTAACCTCTGCCATCCTGAAAGAGTTAAAAGAAAACAGCTCGCATGTTGCATATTGCATATTGTCTTGTCAAGGAAATGCCTGGGGAAATAGGTTGTATAATGTGCCCTGCAGGTCAGCAAACTTGGGCTCTGGCATCTTGACAAGAGCTCAGAATCCCAAAATCCCCTACCAAAAATAACGTGTCCTGGGCCTCGCAGAGTTTCAATATTGGCACAAGCTAAAAAGAGCCCCCAGTTGCAGCTGTTTCAGGAGTATAGTTAAAGAGAGCCTTTACAAGCTTTGTAAATTCCACATTGCCCTACACACTACAGCTCAGAGCCCTGATACCAGTCCCAGTCATTCATTACAGAAATGTATGTATTTATGCTGGCACGATTAACCTATCACACTTTATTTTGCATTTTGACATGTCAAATAATTTTGCACCAGCATATAAGCATTTCTTCTAGCAAGGACGATATTCTTTTTTACTGGCCAAATTGTTCTTCATATTTAATCTGAAAAAACAATGATTTTTATTTTTCCCTTTAAGCTAGTTTTTTTTGTTGTTTTTGTTGTTTTTTGGGTTTTTTTTTTTTTTTTGGAGTTCTGAACTATCAAATTAAGAAAAAGATGCAAAAAATAGCCATGACTGCATGAACATTCTGGGAATGAAATTCAGAGAATTATGCCAATATTGTAAAACGAAGAATATGTAGAAATTCCACCGTGTTATTCCCATAGTACAGTCAGAGGAGACAGGTGTCCACAGTGCTGTGGCCCAAATAGCACGCCTAGTACAATTAATCTGAGCAGACTAGCTCCCAGCCACTTGAAGAAAGGAGTTGTTTATCAAGGTAAATCCACATCTTAGTATTTCCTCCTTCCTTACAGGTGAACCTTCAGTTTCTTACAGTAATATTTCTAGCTGACTTGTCTGTACTACTTAAACTAGATAAAATTGATACACAGAATTAAACAAAAAAAAAATGTTAAAACTCATAGTTGCTTGTAAAGTTGTTCCAGTATTCTTTTGGTGGTGTAAAAGATGCTATTTTCTCTGGGTCAAATGCTTAAACCCTACTGACTTTTTTGGTGTGTGAAACACATTTGTTCAATAATCTGTCTCAAGTAAAGACTTAACATTATTCAAATGTATTTGTTGATTTCATAAACCCAGAGGTTGCAAGCTAGTTTAAGTGATTGATGTTCAAGAGAAATTAACCTAACACTTTATGAATCTTTAGGTTAATGAATGCAATGGCTGGAAGAATAAGCAGTGCATTGTTTTTCAGGCAAGGAAAGCTGTTTTGAGCGTATAGTGTCCAGATTTGGCACTAACATAACTTATGTTGTGATTGGAGATGGCCGAGATGAGGAGCATGCCGCTAACCAGGTAACTTCACTCTGAACTTTATCTCATTTATCTTCCAGGAAAAGAAAGTTGCTTTGAACGAATAATGCAAAGGTTTGGCAGAAAAGTAGTATATGTTGTAATTGGGGATGGTGTAGAAGAAGAACAGGCAGCAAAAAAGGTAACCCGTCTCAAACAATGTTGGTGTGATACTTCTAATGCAAGCTTTTGTGTTTGCATTCCTGTAGTTTGGCCCAATGGCAGCTTGACAAATGATTTGAATTTATAGATGCAAAGCAGTAAGAGCATGAGAAGGTCAATACTTACATTCAAATAAACCATTTGGAGTCTAGCATTTTTTTTGCCTAAAATTTGATAGGAAATGTACAAAAATTTAGATTTATGTGTGTGTGTGTGTGTGTGTGTGTGTGTGTTTATGTGTAATGCACACAGATATGATGATCTTTGAGAAAGGTAGGGGAAAATAACCATTTTTAAACACATAGAGTTTAACCTGATAGACAAGTTTAATGATCTCCATAGAAACCATATCAGTGGCTCTGTTCTTACCCTTTTGCTCACCCACCTTCTATGCCAGTGGTCCTTCTGAGTGCCTTGTAGTAAGTGTGCTCCTTGATGATAAATGCTAAGGATAGATTTAGTAGCTGAAGAAAAAACTATTGCTAGAGAATTTAATAAATGCTGTTGAAATGACATGTATTATTCAGATCCTTTGGTGCCAACTTGTCATAGAGACTTAGAGGCAGTATGCCTTATATCTTCTAGAAGAGTGTTGCCTGTTTGAGTGAGCCGTTAGTACTCGACTGAAGCCAAGCAGGTGACTTTAAACATATTCAGAAAATCTCATAGGCCTTAGGTATTTAAATAAGCCTTTTCATCTAGCCCATATTTCTGAGGAAGAAATTAAGGTAGTTAAAAACCATTAAATGGTTGGCCCAAGATCAAAAGAGGAATGATACCAGGATTGGTCCTGGACACCAAACTATCAGTTGACACAACACTGAGACCTAATGGTTCCTTCACTGAATGGTCACAAAATGTCATCTAGCCAGGATAAAAATCGTATAATTTATAGAATAAAGCAAAATGATGATTGCTATTTTTAAACAGTGACATATCAGTTTATATTGTTTTACATAGAAAGAATGTTGTCATTATCCTGAGGAGGGCTCAAATCCTCATCTAATAAAGCCTTCACACTTGCATGTGCTGGAGTGTTTACCTGATTTCTGCTTTCCAAAATAAATTTTTAAGAAAAGTTTATAGCTATACTAGAAAGATAAAAGAAATGACTTCGGTTTGTAGATAATTTAAATCAAGCAAGATGAAGAATGAGAAAGAGCTTCTACTTTAGAAGGTTTGGTGAAGTGTTGGAAGCCATAATTGAAAAATTCCGTGCTTTTCCATAACACTAAGAACTGGTGTAGCTCAGATTACCACAGAGCTCCTGGTCTTAATTGTTAGCAACATCAGTGACCCAGCACAGCCCACTGGCCCCTCGGACATTCTGTATCAGATCAGAGATGCAGCTTCAAGAAACACAACTTTCACTGCTCAGTGCTACTTAGAATCCTTCCAGTTGCACACAGTTGAATTACCTCTTGGAGTTTGTCAATGTCCAGAGTACACGCTATTTTGATTTTTCACATTGGCACCATCATGACACACAACAAGTAGTCATTGCACCACTGCAGCAGACATTTTGCATGTCTTTTAGACTATGTGAAATTCACACAGATCTAGGTCAGGGCAATATAAATTCGCTTTTCCAAACCAGAGATATTATTTGCCTTTGAAAATGAAAATGCATAAAGTCTACACCATTTATTCATGGTGTGAAAACAGGACTTGGCACCCCAGTTGTTATACCCTCTGTTTTACCCCTGAAACTTCAGGAGAAAAAGGCATGACTCCAGGTGGATGAGAACCTTGGTTAGAATGCTATTTCCAAATGGTTGTTTATGTAGGTACAGTTTTGGTGATGGTGAAGGCTTACGGTTCTATTTTGAAACACAGGTGGCTGGTCCCCCTAGTATGCAGGATGCATGCTTTTCTTTGGATGTGGCTGTAATCGCATGCGCAGAAATACAAAGTACCATTTTGTTGTTAAAAATAGATCTGAGCTGAATGAACAAAAAAAACTTCTGTGCTTTAACTGGACCTAGAAACTTGTTTTGTTTTGCAAATTTAAGAAGAAATTTCAAAGTTTAAGAATTAATGTATAACCACAGCCCCCTATAGAAATACATAATGTGAGCCATTGTTGTAATTTTAAGTTTTCTGGAAGCTGCATTTTTTAAAAAAAGAGACAGGTAGAATTAATTTTAGTAATATAATTTAACCCAATATACCTAAAATATTACTGTATCAATATCTAATAAAAATGATAATTACTAATGTAATGCTTACATTCTAAGTCTTTGAAATTCAGTATACATTTTGAACAGGCCTGGTCACATTTCAGGTGCTCAATACACACATGGGGCTACTGGCTACCATATTAGACAACAAAGAATCATAACATAGTGATTATTATTTTAATGTTTAACTTCTATTATAAAATACATTTCCATGTTTTATATATATACATATATATGTATTTTTTATATATATATGGATATGTACTCTACACGTATATATTCTACAAGATGCCATCAGCCCAAAACTACAAATAATGCTTTGGTTTTAATTGCTACTGTGCATTATTTCTTTTTTTCATTATTGTCCATAATGGAGTATTTTTAGACAATTTTTTCTTAATCACACTTTTTTGTGAAGCTTATCACACATATACCATATCCTGGTATATCTTTGGAGAGGCTCAAACCATTGTAATGTCTAAGAATATTTTTCCCCAAAAGGGGTCATTTTTGTCCCCTTTAGTACATATCACCCCTATTGGGAATGGATGCTGGAGTGCTTTCTTTCAGTCCCATACCAGTGAAATAAGTCAGTGCTACTGACTTAAGTTATTACTTACCCCAGAAAAGGAAGAAGGTTGATCATCCCCACATTGTTTCCTACCTTATATAGTCCAGCTTCAAATTATTTTTTTACATAGAAGGGAATTCACCTTCTTCCTCTCCTCTAGACAAAAAACCTTGGACTTAGGAAGTTTATCATTTTTTAAATTTTGTTTCTGAGAGGTGAACCATAAGGAGTGTTGTGGTTAAAAATTGCTTTCCATAAGCCACGGAGGATTGCTCCGTGCTCAAGTTACTTCCCCAGATGCTGATGTTAGTCATGCTTTTCCAGAATAAATACTAAACTACTTAAGAAATCTCAGCATTTGCTTTTATAAACATTAAAATCCAGTTCAGATCTATTTCTCTACTATCTTGACAATATGATATTGATGCTACCAAGCCTTCAAATACGATCATGCTTCCCTTGAGTTCTCTCCCTTGAATGTGGGTGAACCACACGTCTTTGTGTGTACTGCTGCTTTATTGAGACAAGAGTTATGATTTCTCTCCATTCCTTCCCCTTCTCTCCTCTGTCCCTCCCTCTGTCAACACACAGCACAACATGCCCTTTTGGAGGATATCAAGTCACTCAGACCTCTTGGCTCTGCATCAAGCACTGGAATTAGAGTATTTGTAACTGTGTTCTCTAGCTGGAGATCCATTTTTTTTATATATATATTTCAAGTACACTGAATTTTTATGTGTGATTCAATGCCCCTGGCTTTACACATATAAATTGTCTTAAAGGATGAAATCATATTTGGAATGAAAATTCCAGAATGAAGAATTCAGATTGCTGAATGGAGTTAAACTTTAGCGCTACAGAAAGGAAGCTCTATGGTCTTATATTTACAACACTTTAATGTTTAAAAAAATAAAAAATCTGTGGAGGTTGCTGGTACACACCGAGTGAGTCCTAACTGGAATTAACAGCTTTAGCAAAGAACTCTTACCCCTGGCAAAGCACCAACACAGGCTCCGTCTGACAAGGTGGTGTTCAACAACATTCCTCAAAATGGGAGATCTTCTCAGCCCTGAGGTTTGAATCTGACTTTAGCCTACCTAGCCCAGAAAATCTGAATTGGAATGCACTCAGACTGTATAAGGACAATCCTATCTAGACCTGTAATTTGTGTAAATTATGGATGAAAATAATTTACTGTGACTTTATTAGCAGCTGACTTTGAAAGTGGATGCAATTTTTCTTTTCATTTGTTGGGGAGGGAAGTGGGTGGGCAGTGGGAGTCTAATAATGTCTCTTTTTTTAAGTTTGGCAAACAAAATGTTCATACTGATGTGTTGTGCCTTAAAGACAAGACAGCATTTGTGTGTGTTACAGTGTAACTTTGGTGAAAATCTCTGTAGATAATGAAAAACAAAAACAACAACAACAACAAAAAAAAGCCTTTGTGATCATTCTTAAGATGACCAAATTTAAAATTCAAGCTATCAAAGCTTAATACTGCATCAGCAAGAAACTGAGTATTTGTTGCAATAAGAAAACAATGATAATAAAGGAAAGCTTGTGTTTTATTTGGGTTCTTAATAATTCCAATAGTTATATGAGGCAACTATTTGTGCATCCAACCATAAGCAGAAGGTTATGGGAAGGTTTGGGAAAGACTGTGGGACCTTTACTTAAAAGTGAAATGTATGTTGAAGTCTCGGGTACCCCTTTCTACAGTTCTTCTGGAGAAAACTAAGAGCCATATTCATGACTACTTACATTATTTTGAGTTTGACTTTTTGATATGTGTAAGTTGTGTCGAGGAAGATAGTCTCATTAAAATCATAACCAAATAGCCCCCAAACTTTCTTAGGCTATTCCATGAACATGGCTTGAAATTCACATTGAGTGAACATGGCTTAAAATAAAGCTAAGTGCATTCATTCCCAGTGCCATCATGAAAATGAAATGTCATCAGTGGTGGAAGATGAATGCCCAGATGCCTTCTAAAGAAAGGAGTGAATCAATGAAAATTTTACCTAGAATATCATCATAAAATAAATTGGCAAACGAGCCAGATCTTGGCAGCAATACTGAAAATTACAACAGTGAAATAGTATCTGGTTCTCTGTCTGAATGCGTCAATCCAGTTTCTCTCCCTTAGAGACCCATGCACCTTCATTTCTGCCCGCACTGTTCCTGCACAATGGCGTGCATTCATTGCAAGGAGAACCTGTCATCGTTGTGTGTGCATGTGTGTTTTTTTCTTGGTGTGTAGCCCATGTTAGGAACACGATACAGGTTCTCCTGTCATTTTGTATGACATGAAATTTCCCTTGTGGAAATTTAAGACTTCAAGATCTATGAGTGTTTTAACGGTGTCTGTACCTGCAGTTCTGTGTTTAAAATGTGGAGGCTGGAATCCAGCTAATAGGCAGAGCCCCTAACCAGACGTTGGTCCGTGATAGCTCATCATCTGAGGCTTCCATGGCTCCCGTAGGATCAGTGCTTTGCACATTGATCACAACATTCACTATGGAAATGAGGTTTTATTTTCCAGGTTGTAAACCTGTATTTCTTTACTGAATGCTAAGACCATATTTACCTTGGGCAGAAAGAGCTTGAGATCCAGTTTTGCAGATTTTAAGACAGTGATTTCATCACACAAACCTTAAAATTATTCTTTAAATTTTGTAACTTTTGGCTCTCTCTGCCCCAAGTACTGGTGCAGACAAATTAAGGTTGCAATACTTTTAATAATAATGATAATGATAATGATCATCATCATCATCTTACATTTCTATTGGCCTTAACTTGAAAATAGCAGTTTAAAAAAATCAAAGAGCTGCACTGATTATCAATAATTATATTTTGTGCACTAACACCTTAAATATTTATTACTGTGAATAAAACAATATTATCTTTCTGGCCAGTTTTTTTAAATGATAGATTTGTGGCATTACATCTAGACTTTTAATTCTTTTTCATATCAAACAAGCAAGGCATCTAATGTTGCTGAAACCCTGCAGGTACAGAAAGGAACACCCTTTCACAGGCAAAGGAAGTGTCACTGATGACCTCACCCAGTGCTATTTCTCACATACATTATCCCCCCTGATTGTGTGTTCAGAAGAGGCTGCTGGCATAAAATCTAAATGCTAGGTTAACGAACAGCTTGATGGCACAACAATGGCGCAGGCCAATATGGCCGACCTCACAGCTTGTCATGCAACTTCAAGTGTGCTCAAACTGGAACCCTGCCTTTCCTATGCTAGGAACAGAGATCTTCTTCCTTTCTGATCTAATAAAACAAAAAAACAAAAAAAAAAGCCAACAAACAAACAGAAAAAACAACCCCTTTGGCAGTTCCCACTTTCTATTGACATAGACTATTGTGCCTTATTATAAACCAATTTGAAAAGTGTTCTGTCACTGAAATGAGTTTTCGGCTACTACATGTAAAACTTGGTCTATCACTAGGAAAGGTAACCACCTTGTGTCACGCCTGAAAAATATCAAAGCAGGTGGCCTGGCTACGATATTATAGCATACAATATTAAGTCACTCTACCCCTACAAAAGTTTAAGTCAAATTCAGAAGCAAAAAAAAAAAAAAAAAATTTTTAGAATCATGCAGTTTGTGCACAAAAAAATGGGTAACTCTAAAAATGTTTTTTTCCTTAGTCCCTGGTGAGTGAAGATTCAAAATAGTGTCAACAGCATGCTCCAGTTTGAAGTTGTTATCTTTTTAAGCACATTTTTTTTTGAAGAGCCTACATTCTCAGTGAATATGGCATTTAGTATTTCTTTCAAAAACAAATTTAAGCATCGTGAGCCAAAGTTGCATTTTGACTCCCAACTATGGTAGCATTATGGAAATCTCACAAAGTCAAGGGTTTCTGTTATGTATTAGTAAAGTATAGATTATTGGGGCTGATATAATTTAAGAAATGTAAATTAATATTAAAAGCTTGTAAAAATATGTACATCTTTACTATTTCTCAATAAATACCTTTGGAAATGTTTTCATTTTCTTCACCCTCCCATGTTGTAGAGTTTTTGTTGTGTGGACTTAGCTCGATTCTAAACAATGTGAAATTTATATTTAAGCTTCCTGATGTATTCTTACCTTCCCTTGCTTATACCTAGATGTCATTTGCGGTTAAGGTGAGTGAGATGTGACATGACAGAATGTCCCTCATCAAGACTACAGGTGGGCTGGTGTGCCAAAAGGGTGTGAGTTGCATTGGTTTGATATAGGAACAGTCACATTCAAGCGTAATGCAGAAAGGAGTTGCAGTTCATTAATGACGACACAATACCTTTTAGAATATTTAAAGCAATGTTTTTTCTTTAGATGAATATGGGACCCCGTTTGTAAGTAGCTTCCAAGAGTGATAAAAGGAGTGTTGTTCTTAAATAGCTTTTTTAAAAAAAATTCTTTATCTAAATTCAAGTTAGTTAACACATAGTGTATTATTAGTTTCATGGGTAGCATTTAGTGATTCATCAGTGCTTAATATATCAAGCACCCTCCTTCGTGCCCATCACCCAGTTACCCCATCCCCCACCCCCCTCTCCTCCAGCAACCCTCAGTTTGTTTCCTAGAGTTCAGCATCTCTTTATCTTTGATTCATTTCACTCAGCATAGTACCCTCTAGTTCCATCCACGTTGTTGCAAATGACACGATTTCATTCTTTTTGATGGCTGAGTAATATTTCATTGTCTTAAACAGCTTTTTTTAAAAGATTTTATTTATTTATTTGATAGAGACGGATAGTGACAGAGATAGCAATAGAGAGAGCACAAGCAGGGAGAGAGGCAAAGGGAGAGGGAGAAGCAGGCTCCCCGTGGAGCAGGGAACCCGACATGGGGCTCGATCCCAGGACCCCGAGATCATGACCTGAGCCGAAGGCAGACGCTTAACCGACTGAGCCATGCAGGTGCCCCTTAAATAGCTTTTAACAGCTTTCTTACCTTGTGTATGGTATTGATTTATTTGCAGATCTGTTGTTCAGATGCAAACCAAAGGGAAACCTCATTCATAACTTTTTAAAAGCCTCACCTCCAAATTGAGTATGTCCCACGTGTTCCCCCAGCATTATATCATTTCCCTCCTTTACTGTTAAATAATACTTAATCCCTAGATTTACAGTTACCCAACATGGCACATACTTTTGTTTATCCTTTGTATTGGATGACTTCCGCACTAGAATGTGTGCCCTGTGAGGACAGGGATTTTTGTCTTATTTTTTGTTCACTCTATATAACCAGTATCTAGGAGAGTATCTGGCATGTAGTAGATACCCCCAAATAATATTTGCTGAAGGAATATATAAACCATAGGAAAACTTGTATGATCATGGTCTGGAATTAAAAAGATTTTAAAAAGTTGAGCTAGATTTTTTTTAAAAAGAGAAAACATGCTAAGTTTGGATGGAACTAATGTAAATTTTTACAACTTAGCTGGAGTGTCTGCTGGTCTAATAATTCGTGAAAATAAAGAGCAAGGATGGTCATAAGTAAAGATGTATTTGGAAATAGAGTTATGTGTGAACTGAGAATAATCTGGAAAAGAAAAAATAAGTTTGCAATGAATCAGTAATTGATTCCTCTGCCCCCATTACTCTTTTATTAAATAATAATAATATGCAACATCAGTAGCTTTAGTTGATTTAAATTATTTAAAG